TGCTACTGTCAATAGCTAATAATGTGTTTTTAATTGTCATCTGAGAGGTTCTTTAGCTGGAAGAAAAGCACAAGGGGGGAACTGCCAGCAGCAGCAGCAGGCACTGCTGCTGGTGCTGCTGCTGCTGCTGCTGCTGCGCAAACAGCCACAGAACAACACAAGTTTGAGCCGCAGCCTTCGGCGCTGCTAAAAGAAGTGCAGCAGCTGCTGGCGCTGCTGCAGCAGGAGCAGCAGTTCAGCTGCAGCAATCACACCATGGCAGCAGCAGCAGCAGGCGCTGCTGCTGCAGCAGCAAGGACCCCTGTTGAGCTGCCGCTGGTAGCAAAATCATTTCTCAAGTCTCTGCAGCAGTACTCAGAGACGAAAGAGGCCCATGGGAGCTCCCAGCAGCAGCAGCAGCCGCTGCAGCAGCTGCAGCAGCTGCAGCAGACAAAGCTCCAGCCTCCCCCCAAACGACCGCGCACAGACAGTGCAGATCAGAACAAAGCTGCAGCAGCAACAGGTGCTGCAGCAGCAGCAGCACCTGCTGCTGCTGCTGCTGCTGCTGCACCTCAAACCCTCAGCGCCCCCAGAGAGGCCCTGAGGCGACAGCAGCAGAAAGCGACAGAATTAGGTTTTGCTGCAGCAGCAGCAGTTGATGCTGCGCTGCTGAGGCTGGAGCAGCAAGTTGACCGCTGTGTAGCTCTAAGGAAGCAGCTGCGCCTTCAGCAGCAGCAGCAGCAGCAGCAGCAGCAGCAGCAGGGGGCCTCCAAAGGGGAAGGCAGCGGTAGGTGACTAGCGGCCGTTAAAGCTGCGCCTTTGGGAATGCTGCTGCTGCCGCGCTTTTTGCTGCTGAGCGTTTGCTGCTGCTGCTTTTGCTGCTGCTGCTGCTGCTGGAACTGTTGCTGCTGCTGCTCGTTGTGCTGCCTGCAGCTGCAGAAGAGCCACAGGCAAAGAGCGGAGGCCCTGATGCTGCAACAGACGCGCAATCAGCGTGGTGAGTGCTGCTGCTGTTGCTGCTGCTGCTGCTGCTAGTCTGGCTGCTGCGGCAGCTGGTTCTCTTTGGCTGCTGCAGCTGCTGCTGCTCACAGGGTGAAGAACATCTATTGCGGCTGCTGGTGCTGCTGCTGCTGCTGTGTTTCAGGGCGGCCCTCGTCCGCCAGGCCTACCGGGGCAGCAGCAGCAGCAGCAGCAGCAGCAGCAGCAGCAGCA